TTTAACTTTGAGTATTTGTAGGACCATATAGGATGCCAGTTTTGGCCATCTATGAGTGTCAGGGATCTAAATCAGCAGCTACAACATCTGTAGTCAAATCTATCACAAGATATCATAGGATATCTATGTCTCCATGTCTGAATGTGACACTGTGTGTGTCCAGGCAAGAGAAAGTCTACAAGTTATTAAAAAATCCTTCAAATTGTATCAGTGTTCCATAGAAAATGTTCCTTTGCTATGCTATTGTAATCACTTATTACCATCAGAATTATATTCACACTAATAAAGTTTCATTCAACTTCAGTACCACTTTCTTAGTAACTATTTTTGTTAATGCATATATAATACAACATAAGTGTTTTATATAAGTATAATACATAAAACACATTTTATGAGTGTATAAAGTAATTTAGCAAATTTCAATATCTGAAGAATAGGCCTATTTAATTAATTTTCATCAGAGTGTTAAAATTATAATGAAAATGATCAATTGAATATGATTATATGATTAATTTTTAATGTAATAAATTTTAAAACCTTGAATTACTAATAAATGATATAATTATTAAATATTATATCAAATCATATCATATACTGTATCCATAATAAATCAAGTACAATGTTTTAGCTTTGTAAAAAACATTATTATATAAGCATCAATTCATAAAGTAATATTTTGATATTATCTAGTAACGCCAATCTAAATAACTGGTTAATTATGAAAATATGCCAGATGTTACAATAATATTTCTGACAACAACTAGCATTATCTAATAAATATAAAAGAACAAAGCAACTTAAAGCATTTCTTAGTGATACTAATGAGAACTTGCTTTTTTTTTTTATTAAACAGAAAGATATTCAAAAAATTTTAAATAAATATTTGCATTAAACAAAATAAAATAGTTATATCTCTTCTTTACTTGATATTAATTTAATAATACTCTTAAGATATTAATGTGAATAGGTATAAGGATTATGTAACATGGTAAAAAAATAAAATATATCATATTACATTTACAAAGACAGATTTAAATATAAACAACCTTCAACTTCATTTATGTGAATGAAATTAATATCCAGCTATTGACAAATCTTAGAATTAATAATAATAATGATATGTTAATAAAAAATAAATATAATAATAAATGAGTGCAGATTATTAAAACTACTTTTAATTCTTGATATAATAGAATGAAATGAGACAATAAAAGTTGCCTAATTAATGAATAAAATATATGTTATTTTATATGCACTCATTTAAATATAATTATATATATATTTTTTTTTATGTAAAAAAAAAAAAAGTGTAAAATATGTTTGACAGTTTAAAGTTAACTTTAGTAAAGTAACTAACATAGCTCATAATACTTTCTTACTACAATCCTCAAAGAGTTAATCAATTTATCTGAGAAGTCAATAAATTAGTATGAGTTCAATGAGATCAATGAATAAATTTATTATTTTTCAAGCTGTTATACAAGGTAGCTTCAAAAAGTTCCCAGAATTGGTTTATTACTCAAAAGTATGAGTATAATTGACAAATCAAGCAACATGTCCTTCAAAGTATTGTCCTTCGGCAACTACACACTTTTGTCAATGTTGATATAGCTGCTGAAAACATTCTTGGAAGTAATCTTCCGACAGTGCCTACAATGCAGATGTCACACTCTGTATAACCTCATCTGCATTCTTGAAGTGGCATCCCTTGATGGCATCTTTCAACTGGGAGAAGAGGTAGAAATTGAATGAGCTCTGCTGTAAGCATTCATGGCACTGTTTGTTAGCAAACACGGTGCATGTTCAATTGATCATGCAGGATGGAATGACAACTTCCAACCAAAATTCCTGTTGTCTTGGTGATCTGCTCAATTAACTGCTGGCTGTCTGACCTCACAATCTTGTGTACAATGACAATTTCTTCCCAAATGATGATCTCGACGGACAACAACTTCACAAATCAACAGCAATACACTCTCATCCCTCATGAAAGCATTTTTACCAGTCATAAACTTGACAATGCTTCATGGAAGATTCAAGGCATCCTGAAGCATCTTGAAAGTCTCAGAGAATTTTTTCCCAATAACACAAAATTTGATATTTGCATGTTGTTCTTCCACAGCCATTTTTGACAGACTCTGTTTCACAACGTCTCACTAACACGACCTTCACTATATGGTAACTGTTGTCATCTTTGCAATGAGTATGTATTTGTTTAAACATATTTCTCTATTCCTGAGATGTTTAACTAAGACATGCATTACATGTTCCCTTTTTCATCACTTTTAATTTACTAACCCAGCATAATAAGAACTTTTTGAAGCTACTTGGTATATAACATAGGAAAAGTATGACAATCAATCAAAAAACTGACTGTGAAATTAACACTCACCAATAACAAAATCCAACAAAATGTATAAATTTTACTGCAAACTAATATTTTCATCTTAGATATCTTCAAGTTTAATTCCACAGAATAGTACAGTAAAGTTAAATTAAAGATTTAGAACTATTGGGATGCTTTTAAAACAAGCAGAACATTTTTAAGAACATGCAGAGAACTGCACATGTCTGGTATGAACTGGTAGTTAATTTATCTCAAACAATGCTCTCCAAGCTGTAGAGATTGAATCAGTTTCCTTGAAGTTAACTGTTGTTCCTTTCATCTAAAGATACTGTAGATCTCAATTCTATGTTTCAATTGCTGTAGATCTGCCATTCAGTGTAGGAGGTTTGGTTGTCTAGGTTCATTTTCACTTCTTTATCTAGTGCATAAGAGGCAATGCTATACTAGTGAGATGCTTCTTAAGGAAGTATCATGTTCTCTAATCCTTGCATGGAGGCTTCTAACAGTAGCTCCTATATATTGTGTTGTTGCTGTTGAATGTCAATCGGGATAGTATAGATGCGTGAGAGGTGTTTTCTCAGTCTGAGATCCTTATTATTTCTAAGTGAGAAAATCATAGCACTTCTCTTGAATGTGATTTTGAAGCTGTTACATTTGATGATCTCCCTATAGACAGAACGCAGGTGGTCGTCACATTGAACATTTACTCTAAAGTAGTGCAACCATTGATTTGATATACAGTTTAATTGTACTCTATTGTTTTGTCAATAAAACTTGTAATAAATACTGTATTCTGCTGTTTCATTCAGCATACTGACTGCAAAGTGCAAAGTGCTGTAAAAACTTTATATCACATTTCCGGCTATGGGTTTCTTATATCAAAACGTGCAAAATTTCATCCTCTATAATCCCCCAAATTTTTAAAACATCATTCTGATACACCCTGTATAAGAACCACTTTTGGGTAGTAATCAATCCCCATGCTGGTGTTGTTGTAGGACCAGCTGTTCAGCTAGATATTGCTTAGCTAACTTCTTGATTTATGCTAATTCTTTCTTCTTACCTGCTTGGGTGGAATAATGCATATAGGCTCATTTCATTAAAGCTCTAAATGCAGCTAGTTTATATGAAAATGGATCATGCAATGTAGCCAGAATATAGTGTGGAGACAAAACTTCCCACTAACATATAACAGTGTATGGCAAGAGAGTTCTACCTATGAACATTTCCTGGCAAATGACAAGTAAGGTCTTCCAAAAGGAGACATATAGCCCAATGTATATTCTGACCACACTGCAAAAAATTAATTACCAGTCCATACCAGGCATGTGCAATTCTCTGCATATTCTTAAAAATTTTCTGCTTGTTTTAAAAATATTCTAATAGTTCTAAATGTTTAATTTAACCTTAATGTACTATTCTGTGGAATTAAACCTGAAGATGTCAGTTATATAAAGATAAAAATGTTAGTTTGTAGTAAAATTTATACATTTTGTTATTGGTGAGTGTTAATTTTGATTACTTATACAGTTGTTTGAAAATTATTTTTAAAAATAACCCCCAAGATTTAAATCTTTTTGGACTCAGGACCTTGAAGTGTTTAGATATAAAAAAATTTTGAGTTTTTATTCCTGTATATATGGATGTTAGTATGTATGGGGAGCAAGATTTTGTTTACCTGCTTTGAAACTTAATAACTCCTGTGTTTTTTGTTGAAAATTTCTTAAACTTTGCAGCAATGTTTTTGTCTTAGGGAGATTGATGCTATTAAATTTTGGTGGTTAAAGATCAAGGGAGTGGAATCACTTGTTATATCTTGAGTGGGATAAGGCTTAAAAATTTTATTTGTTATTAACATTTGCTATTTTTATAAAACTCATCTCTACCATCAAAATTAAGTTTTGCGCCATTTTTTTAACAATTAACAATATAAAATGTTTTTTAAGTAAAACCTCATAACAGATGGCATCACACACAATTTTAGAGTTTGGTCAGGAAAATTATGCAACTGATTGCTGTATTTTTTAAATATTTTAAATTTAGAAAAATAATAATAATTGATACATCTTAAATTTAATTAAAATAAAATGCTCAATTTTAATTTTGTTTTATCTTTAATGATAAAAATTTTTAAATTAATTTTTATATTTGTATATTTTTTTTATTTCTTCCTATTTATATATTCATTTTATATCAGTATAGACTAATGTTGGTGAATTAAATCTAACTGCCCTGCACTTTACGTTTTATGTGAAGTTACATTCACCCATAGGCTAATGAATTCCCCAAACAGCCTTTAGTATACTACAGTAACATTAATTTCTACCTAGCCAAACTCTTGTACAAAAATATTATTGTTTAATTAAACACATTATTAGTATTATCTTAAACTGATCTTTTTCCTGATAAACAAAGTATTCTAACATTTTTTTTTTAATCGGAATACAGTGACATTTTGGGACAGAATGTCAAAGACACAAGATGACTTAAATATACTAAATATTTTTCCCTAAATATTCTGTGCTGAAATGGTTGCATCTTATCTGCATATGCTCTTACATGTAAAATAGGGTATGCTATAAAATAATATACATAATAATTTAATAAATGTAAATAAAAGTAAAATTTAGATTTAAAACTTGTCATTACTTACTGAAAAATGCAAATATCCACATCTTTGGCTATATTTTCTTCTTTCCTTTTCAAATTTTTCTTGCTGTGCCAATACACGATAATATTCCAGCAAAGAACTAATCTAAATAACAACAATAATAATCATGTTTATTAAAAATATTAATAAATTTAATTTAAAATTTGATAATCAATTTTATAGTTAAATAAAACTTAATAAAATAAAATTTACATTTTTTATATAATTATTAAAAATATATGCAATAAATTTTACAACAACATTCAAAGCTTAAAATTTGAAGTCAGAAATCATATTTTAAGTTGTCATATTCTGTTATAAGTGTAAATGAAAATTTAAAAGGACTTTTAATGGGTTAGAAATTATATACAATAAAAAACTGCCATCATATTCAATGCAGCCAACAATAATAATACTTTATCTTTTCAAAAGTTATATAATATGATCCTTTATTAGTATTATGTTGCACATAACATGTCAAGTGAAATGACATAAGTATATAAAGTTTCATTTTATATCAATGACATTAGAATTTTAATTTTCAAGTGACTGAAAAGTATTCTATTTCTAATTGTACATTGAACTTTTTGGGAACAAGTAGACTACTTTCATACATCTGATCCTTCATAAAGATTTGTAAATCTCTTGACCTTTCATAAGTATGTGTCAAGAAGGATAATGATACCTATACTTAAAAAATAACAAACTAAATTGACACAATCTAAAAAAAAAAAAAGCTTTTGAAGTAAATAATTGAATATCAAATTTTTCAGAGATCATAATTATACACTATTTTTAACTTTATTCTCCATTATTCATATTAAACAAAATCTTTAATACTTTTAGTTATACAGTATTCTAAAATAGTAATTTTATATAAATCTATAATTTAGTTTGCAAGGGCTTTACTTCTTAATTATTAAGTGTAGAAAAACTAATTATGACAAACAACCTGCAATATAATGTCACTAGATTAACAGTTTGATTATTATATATAATTGGACTGCAATTTTAAAAAATTGTAGACCTATAAATTCTCACTGTTGTCCACCCATCTGTCTGTCCTTCCATACTCTTAAGAACAGAGTTAGATACATGAAAGACAAAACCAGATATGGAAACCTTAGAGGCAGGAGGCCCTGATTAACTATATACAAATGTCAGATACAAACCAGAAGTCATGTTATTTCAATTCAAAAGTTTCCCTGAAAGGTGTTAGATAGATGACTGGCATGACTCTATTGCTGAAAGGAAAGTATGATGTACAGGGACAAACCACTACTAATTTGAGGTGGAGAGCATATATTTTAAATTAAATAAATTAAAAATATGATTAAAATTTGCAGCCTGGCATTGTGACAATGTCACAATAAACAATTGCTTGTTATTATTATTATTAATATTAGTTATTTATTTATTGTGTCAATAAACTGGTTGTTTCAAGTGCTATTTTCAACAGTTCTTCATGTAACCATTAAAGAAATAATGCAAAGAAAAATAAGTGCCAAATTTTGAAAATTAATTTGATTTTTGTCTAATAGAGGTTTAATATAACAAAAAAGTATTAAGATAATTGTAATACTATTCATTTTTTACATATATTATTTTTTTATTACTTTTGAGTAAATATTTTTTCAATAATTAATTCTTATTTTAGAAATATGTCACAATCACATTTTGATATTTTCTGTTTGGCTTGTAATGAATAAAATTTTTTATTTTTGTTTTGGTAAATAAGTATATAATAGACTCACAAAAACCTTTAAGTGACCAGTAAAATATTTAATTGAAAAAACAACAAACATTTTTTACTGTATTTTTCAGCCTTCTTCAGGTTAAAAGTTCCAAGATTCGAAAAGCTGTTGTGCTTAAAGATTTAAAAGTTGGTAAATAAGATTTTATATATAACTGTTAGTTAAGTTCAGTGAAGTTTTATATTATCATATATTTTTAAATGCATAAATAGCACAAGTATGATCAGAGTTCTAGTAATGAGCAATCTCAGTCCTGATGGCTGGATGATCACGGTTGTAAAGGTATCAGCCTACTGCTCTGGAAACATGGGTTTGAGTTTGAGTTGGAAACCTCAAGAATTTTTTTGTCAATGGTCCGTCTGGATACATCTAGTCCCATTCCTCACTATGTGCCTATTTCTGTTATGGGCCTAGCCAAGTCTGTGATGGGCCTGAAAAATACTCTCTGAATGTATTCAGAAGAAAGTGGATGAAAATTCAGAAATAAATATTTTTACTCCTTAAATATCCAGTAATAATAACTTTACCAATGTTTTTGGCCATGTTAAGTGATCTTCAAATAATATCAGACCCAAAAAAAAGAAAAACAAAGAATAAAATTATAAAACAAAATATTACATATATCAACAATTATCGAACATACAAAATTATGTCACAGTTACAAATTAAAAATCCTAGAATACATCATATGATTATAAAGAAAATTACAAAAATTTTTATACTTATGCCTAAATAACATAAAAAGCAAGATAGCATCCTAATATAGACATCCTAAGTGTCTGCTGAAATATTTAATGAGCACATTTAACTCCTGTTTTCCTTGACATAGGTGCAGACTGAAGCTGGGCTCTGTGAAAATCATATTTCAATACACAATTAAAAAAAAAAAAAAAACACATAAGGAAATTGCTAAAGCTTTGAACTCCTCTATTGTTTACAGGATGAACCCTACAAACTTTCAATTACTAAAGACAGAATGAATCCATCAAAAAACACCACATATTATAAAATATCTATTGAAGATCTAAAGTTTGATGCAAATAGAATATATATAGGTGTAACACCTAGAAGTTTGGATGCGGGACTCAAGGAGTAGACTTAGTCCATTAGGTAAAGAACACCTCCATTGTATTGGCTATTTTTGCTTCTATTTTGAATGTGCATGTGACGTTCACTAAGAACAAATACTTTTATAGATTGTGAGTAATGTGGTAGCTTCTGTCATTGGTCAAATGAATGCAATATTTCAAAGTATTAAGTTGGCTACATTCATATTTATACAAGGACATACAATCAGAATAGACATGAGCACTCACCCTTATAAGCATCTATGTGTCTATATATTTATAAGTTAATGACATGCATCTATGACATACTTGCAGTAGTAAGAACGGAATTTAAGAGATGTCACTCTTCCTCTATATAAAACATCTTGACTGATAAGTAGGGCTGTATTGGAGGATAGATGGCAGGATAAGCTATACTTTTTTTTGTAGAAATATCACATAAACTATATAATACTTCTGGTTACATAGTTTACAAATGTACATTTTATGTATTGTAGAAAGTTGTTATGGTTTTTCAATGCTATTTTATAATAAATAAATTAATATTTTTTTACTTCAAATAACAAACCAACACCTTCATTTTCAAACAATATTGTTTGTTTTTTTCTTTCTAGTGAAAATTTTGAATACTGAAGAAAAAAATCATAAACAAACCATTTGCTATCAGTTGAGTTTACAACTACACTGCTAAGCACTGCTGATAAGATACAGTAGTTCACTGGCTGCTGACCTAACAAAATACTTACTATAAGATATCTATATTCTACAGGCAATAGATAAAAACTATATAGCATGATATTTTTACATGCTTTCATATGGCAGGATCAATTTCCTATAGTTTTAGATTTAAAAATAATTGCATCAAGGGAGCTTTTTTCATTGTACAGTTATTACAAGCATGAAATTACATGTTTTAAAAGTTTATGGCTAAATGTGCAGTTGTAACTTAATAGAAGGAAATGTGGTTAAGGACTCAGAATGATATAAAGTGAATGTAGTAGAAGCACAGTTTGAAAATCACCAACCTTAACTGAATTAATTTCCTTAAATGTAAATTTGTATTACAATGGCTACACACAAAATATATCAGTTTAAAAAAATACAAAACATAAATAAAATTATGATGAAAATAAAAGTAATACCAAATAAAACAGTGATGTTAGTGAAAAGTTAAACATTACAGTAATGGAACATCTTTAGTTTGAATTAAATAATATTTATATATGTAATTAACCAGTTTGTAACTTGATAATGAATCTGGCATTATCATTTGATTTTTAATAGATAATTTGGGCATGATAAACTATATAATTAGATATCTTATTAAAATATTTTCTTTATAAAAAAATATATTCTCTTTCTCAATTTATTTCCTTAAAAATGATCACTATAGCATATTTCTACTTTTTAAGGTGCAAGCATAATACAACTAAATACAGTTGTAATATATTTAAAATGAATTTTTCATTTATACATCCTGCAGCTCTTAATTTAGTTTCTATTGAAATTTTGAATAATTGACAGTCTCTGTCTTGAACAGAAAGCTTCACAAGCTACATTTTCTCATATATATCTCTAAAGGAAAACATTTTATCACAAACTTGCATAATCTTCTGGGTGAAATAAAGAGTTGCTACCATATTTTTGACTTCAATAATAGTTTTTACATGTACTTAAACCATTCTGTGGCCAATGCATATAGTAATGTTAAAGGACTACATTTAATCTAGAACTTTCATATATAAAAGGGATCATGCTAATTGTTTTGAAGTGTTTGTCATTAAAACAAATAAAATTTTATTTTTATTAATTGTGTACAGATTACAAACTATTGGAAATTTGCAGCTTGTCAACGGTTCAAGTTTTTAGTGCAAAGCCAATTTTATTGCTACAGTTAACTCTAATTGAGTTTGATAATCTATATTATATATTTATTCATTATGCAAAAATTAATTATATCTTGAGTGTAGTGTCAAAAATCCAAACTAATTAAAATCAGACCCCATCCAGTTATTCAAATACATGCATAAATTATCTTTTTAAGTACTGTAAACTCCAAATGTTGTAATTTAGGTGTTCTAAGTTCAAGCCAGTATTTCACAAGGAATGTAGGAATACTTACAAGGATTCAAAATATAATTTACAGAACAAAAAGAAAAAATAAGCATAATTTAAGAAAAGCAAATCATTTTAATTTACTTTAGTGTTGTTTAAATAAAATTTTACAAATGATCCCTATTTTAATCAACATTCAATTGATCATAAACTCATTTATTTAGATAGTAAAAAGTCGATTTCTATTTAAGACTTTTTACTAAATGCTGAAATTTTCTCTCTATACATTTTAGAAAATGAGAAAGGAAAGTAAGTGACAAAATAGATTTAAAACTTTTTGTAAAAAGTTTGTAAACATGTGCAGTTGTTCTATTCAAATTAGAATATTAATGTTGAATGTAGTAGTTCTGAAGATAGAATTGTAAAATAGTCAAAAACTGTTTAATCTAATTAAATTGTGGCAACTCTTTCAATAGTTTCATTTTTTTTTTCTAATGTGTACACAGAGTTTTGTTCCTGTTTTGTGCTTTAAGGACAATAACAACAACATAAAGAATTATAATACAGTAGAGCGTCGATTTTCCGAAAGTCAATCATTCGAAACGTCAATCATCCGAAAGAATTCCAGTCGGCAAATTTAAATTTTTGCCAGTGCTGTGGCGCTTCAATCTTTGGCTATGTCTTGGGCTACTCAAATATTTTACGTTTTTAATACTAAATTAACATCTGAAGTATAATTTTTTATTGTTTTTATATTTTTAAATATATTTATTTGGTTTGTACAAAATAAAAAAATAATTTTTAATGATACAACAGTCTTCGTTAGGCTTAACATCAACGAAAATTCAACGCGAAGCAACACGCAACGGATAAAAATTTTGACATCGGATACGTAAACTATTTTTTCGTACGTAAATCAGTTATCCGAAATATCAGTTATCCGGACAACCCCAGTCCCCAATTGATTCGGAAAATCGACGCTCTACTGTAGTCATTTCAGCATAATATAATAGTTACCCTTTTGTAATGTGGATTTTCTTGTTCTTGCCATCCTCCACTAGCTACAAAAAGAAAAGAAAAATATTTTATATTCTATGTGTAATTTAAGTAATAATTATACAGAGTGATTCACTTGGGACTGAACACTTATTATGTGGAATATCTCTGTATAAAATGAAAAGATAAGCATGAAACAAACAGAATGACTCTATTTCATGATGAAGCAGTTAATAAAGGTATATTTTATATTATATGTTATTCAAATGGGACTATGCAATTATGTGGTATTAAACAGTGTTAAGTTCTGAGTGAATCAACCTGTATAATATATCAACAGATTAACATAAAAATATCAAAATTTAAATTTTTGTTGGAAGCAAATTTTGTATCTACTTAAAATAACAGAAATTAATTATTACTTTTTGTGTTTTGAAACTAAAATATTAAAAAAGAATGTGTGTTTTTCTTTTAAAAATATACAGAAATCCACAAAAGTTTTGCCTTTTATAGCTTTAAAACTTCATTTGAGATGTTAAAACTTTATAATGTTGTTTCCTTTTATGAAATTTCATAATTAAGTTGGCTACATGTGTATATTATGGGATCTCTTTCTATAATTCAAAGAACTGCTAACCTTCAGTTTTCTTTATAATCTAATTTATCATTAATTATCTGAAATCCACAACCTTACAGAAAACTTGGCATCTAATGTTTTTGCAATAATACTATTATATGGCTTATAATCTAGTATCTATCTGCAGCATAAAAAAAAGGCAATGTTGCCAGTTTTTCAACTTGGAGATAATGAGACACCACATTATTATAACAACTAAATTATTTTTAAACATTTTCAGTTTTAAATCAAGCCTGGATTTAAAACCAAAAACACTAAAAATATTAAAATATTGTAGAATTTTCAAAGGTATCATTAATTTATAGTTGTCATTGACTTTAATTATGCAGTTCTTAATAAAAGAAACATTTATTAATATTAATCATTAATTACATTTAGTCATAATAAGAATGCAGCAGTTTCTAATGACAGACAAATCTAATAGAATAAAACATTAGGGATGAATGGAAAACAAACAAAAACAAATTGTCTGAACAGAAGAGATGGCTAATTTTATATGATTAACATACATATCCAATTTTGTTTTTACTCAATAGATACATTCCTGAAAAATCTATGTAAAAAGATACTATCCATATAAAAAAATAAAAGATTGGTGCCAGACCTTAAAAACTAGCAAAAAATAGTACAATAAATCAATTAATATAAAGGATGCATTCAAATCTATGTATTTCTTTGTATGTTCAGTTCTATATGATGTATCTTGAAGATGGCTGCTTAGATAGTTGAAAACATTAGAAAATTAAATAATTTTACTAGTAAAGGTTTGAGAATGGTTTAACAAAATACTTCAATTTTAGATAATAAATCAGAGGAGAGACAACTTTAATGTGCTGTACTTATCAGCAAAAGTTAATAACTTTATATTATTCACATAAATTTTAATTTTTATTTGACATTTTCAATTAAAAGACAAAATATTTCTAGCTTTTAACACCAAACTATTCTGTATTAGAAGAAATAGGAAGTAACACAATCATACAAAGAAATCACTAAACTTAGAATTAAAATTTCTCTGCATGATTTAATACAAAATAAAGTTAAAATAAAAAAACCAACTTTGCTACACACATTCAAATAAGTCATGAAAAGCAGAAAAGTCTTAAAATTTACTTGCATGTACAGCATCTTTAAATGCAAATGCTGAGAATTTTTTTAAAAAGCAATGCTGAGAAAAGAAAATATAAATATTTTTTCTTAGACTTAAAATCAAAATGAAGAGTTTTAAAAAGGCAAATTTATTAAAACTATTATTCAGATTGCTAGATCGAAACAAATTGTGTAAAAAAAGAATTGGGTATATTTGACAAGGATCGTCTAATCAAAATTATTAAAGATTGTAATATGTCTGATTTTTAGTAAAAGAGACAAATTTGTATCTTACCTCCAAGAACATTTAAGTATGATAGAAAATACCTCTAAATTGTATGATTTTCAAAAAATATGCATACAATCTGAATAATAGTAGTAACTACAACTACTGTGTCATTCAAAATAGCAATCATTTTATTTTTATTTAAATAATTAACATGTCATTTTCTTTTATAATTTCAATGTTGAAGACATCAATCTCACATGTCTCCACACTGTTGTTGATTTTTATTGCCTATCAATCTGAAGGAACAAAATTTTAGCAGGTTTTGCACCTCCTATACTAGCAAACTAGCCTCCTACACTAAACAAATTCTCCTGTTTCTTCTTCCTTAACAAATAAAGATCAATTTTAATATAGCAGAAACTATCATTCAGTTTAAATGTAATCATCATTTGCTCATTTAGTAGAAAATTAGCAAAAAGTTATTCTCTCAACAATTCATTACATAAAATTATTATGTCACAAATAGTACATTTTGTTAACAGTGTATTTATTTAGTTTTGATTTTATGTCAGTTATTAAAGCATTCCACTTACATTAAATACTCAAGATTCATTTAAATATTCATAAATAACATAGCTACTTAAACATATTATATTTAACTATATCATTTTATTCATATACAAGTAAAATGGCGAAGCCGTTTTTGAGATGAGACTATGTCTTGGAGAGTGTGAGTAATGCATGTGCAAATCTGTTTGTAGAAACAGTCTCAGCATTTGGTATTTTCTTTTTACCTGGTTTATTTTATGTGCGCATGATTTGGGCACTAAATACTCTGTGCCAAATTGCAACTCCTACATGTACTCTTTCATACCTCTAAGGTGTGCAACTGTTGACAGCAGTGCGATTTTAGAGATGAGACATAGTCTCATCAAAAATACACACTCGTGATTTACATTGCATTTACTAACATTATATTATATTAAGACATGCCTGCATATTGACAAACATCCATATTGCAAAATGTCATGCAAAAGATCATTTTTATAATAATTTTATGATTATTATTAATAATCTAAATATATAAAATTACTTGTCCTGACTGACTGACTGGGTGATTGACTGATTGATTCATCATCGCCCAGAGCAAACTGCTGACCCTAAAGAGGTGAAATTTTGTACAGAGTTAGGGTACGTCATGAAAACACACACTAAGAAGGGATTTTATGAAATTCCCCTGCGGGGGTGAGAGGGAAAGGATTAAGGCCTAACCTGAAGAATGGCTTCTACTGTACTATTTTAGATGCAATTTTTTTGTTTTTAACTACGTTTTAGTAAGGCACACCATGAGAATGAAGACTAAGAAGGTATTTTTAGAAATTCCCTCCAGGGGAGAGGGAGAAGATTAAAGCTTAACCTGAAGAACAGCTCTACTATACTATTTTAGATGCGATTTTTTGTTTTTAACTATGTTTAGTCTTCATTGAGTACTTAGGTGTATTAAATTGATAACATTTCAGACATTGTTATAAATATTGATTTTTTAACCAAATGTTTGAACCGTTTTAAATTCAAATTTGTTATTACATATTGGTTCAATTATAGAACAATTGTAAATGTTCCAGAAAATTGATGAAATTGAAAATAGTTCCTTTGATTCTCAGCAATTCTCATCATTCTCAGCAGTAGGTGTTATATAACAATTACTATGGTTGTTGAAATACTGAATATAAATGTGGTTTGCTTGCAAAATATGTGTGCGCAAAGTCGTGGGTAACAGCTAGTAATCTTATAGTTTTGTTTTAATATGTGAATTCTGTTTTACATCATTCTAAACAGATGGTTTTAAGCTGAGGATGATCAAATTTTGGCCAAAAATATTTCTTTTGTTTAATTAAAAAAGTGTTGGTCTCCTGAAATAAACAGTGATTTGATTTACTTATTTGTAAAGAATGTTCTTATGTTTGACAAATGTTTTTGTTGTGATTTTGAATTTGTTCTTTTCTTTGTTTTATTTATATGGAAACCTGAAAAATGGTTTCTATCAAGGGTTTTTCCTGATTTTCCCTGATTTGTTTAATAAATTACTAATAAGTTGCTTATGTCAAAATTAAAAATGATTTCCTCTCCTATTGCATCAGTATGACACCTAATTGCTTATTTAAATATACAAGCAATGTATCCCAAGTGTTCTAAAAGCTACTTAGCATTGCCTGGAAGAACCAAAGCACCCTTTTGGGATAATCATATGTCTAGAGTAAAATTCATTCTTTGTGTGCTGTAGAAAGGAGAATTAGCCAGTATTAGCCTATTTTCAAAGACCTGCCTGAACCATCTTCAAACACTTCAAACTCAATCAAGTTTAAACACAAGTAACCAAAACAACATATAGGTTGAAGACTCAAAAAAATCTGGGTGAGTTAGAAAGTTCAAAAATTTAAATTTGGTACTCAAAGTTAATAAGGTGTTGAAGATGAAGATTTCATTTTGATGGACAGTAATGCCCATACACATAGGGCTGCATTCTTCAATGACTTTTTTGACAGTGAAGATATTTGTTACATGAAATGGCCAGCAAGCTCTCAGGACCCCTAGGGTAATGAGTTGCATCCTGTTAGCCTTCACCTAAAACATTCCAAGAGCTTCAAAGATGTTCTTGTTCAAAAACATCTTTGCTCATGATAGAGCTAATAAACAACATTATAACCAGTGTGAGCAATCACTATGCTGTGTGTGTGCATTCAGGAGACAACCATATTAATTATTTTCTGTGCAAAAAGATTTACAACAATGCTTAATATTTGGTTTTGGTTTGATGTAACTTAAATTAAATTTTTGTTTTACAATTTTTTTGTATAAAGAATATAATGTTCTACTTGTATGTTAAATTTTACATTGTTCTTACCAGTAGTTCCTGAAATGTAAGCTAAATCAATGATTATACTTATTTTTTGGATATGAGTGTATTTACACATACACACACATACATAATACATACAAATATATGGTTAATGGTGCATATTATGTTAGATTATATAAATAATCTATTATAAATTTTAATAAAAATTTTTAATATAAAGGTTGAAAAATTGATTGTCCTCTTTGCATAGAAAATACTTTTGATCCTCTTTTTATTCTCCCATTTTTTAAAGCTACAAAAATTGATTNAATAAAAATTTTTAATATAAAAATAATATTATTATATATAAGATATTAATAATCTTACCTCCAGTTTGATCCGGAATCCCTACATCACGAGATGTCCAACGACAAAATCCACAAGCAAGATAATATAATTTCTTTGGAACTGTTTTATTTGGATCATCTAAACTTGGCAATTGTACACTTGAAGCTCGAATTGATAATGTGTGCATACAACTTGGACAGTCAAAACAATTAGAACACCTAAATAAATGATAAATAGTAAAATAAAAATTAAGTATAATATTTTATTTTATCATTCTTATAAAATAAAGGATATTTTAGCTTGTCTACTATATAATCATAGTGTTATAAAATTTCATTATTAATTATAATACCTATGTTTTTTTACTCTAGCTTCTGGAGAGGGCATATATTCCAAACAATTGGGACAATAATGAGAATCAACCTATAATTAAAAACAAATTACAGTATTAAAACATTTTAAAATATCTTCTCAATGTAACTAATTTAAATTTATATTTATAAATTATAAAGTTAATTTAAGAAATTTCTTTCAGAAAATTGATAATAATGTAATCTTAATATGTAAATAAAAATTATTATTTATTACAAAAAAATTATAATAATATAAAAATAAAGAAATATTGCAACTAAATCACAATGTTTTGTTTCTTTTGTTTTAAGAAAGCTGTATGTACTATTCGTACAGGCTATATGTAACCAAACTGTAACACAATGATAAATATTTATTAGATATGTAACTGGTACCAATATATCAATGTATTAGAATGTTCTTGATATATTGGAATTGGTTTGTTTTACAATCTGATGTCCAATATTTCTTTTCTTCTATTTTCAGTAGAGTATCAGTTCATTTTACAAATTAATGTTCTAATCTCTATCTTTCTCTTCTTTAATAGTGACTATAAAAAGAAAGGAGATCAGAGCAATTGGTTTGTAAAATGAACTGATACCAGTTTATCAGGAACATTTCTACACTATTGAAAATAGAAGAAAAGAAAGATTAAATGTCAGTTTGTAAAACAAATCAATTCCAATATATTGAGAACATTATGATACATAGATATATCAGTATTGGATTGATATCAATAATCATCTTTAGTATTTATGTATGTAAACATATTTTAACATAGAAAAGGTACAGACAGCTAGAAATTTTCAGCTCTATTTTAGTCTTACAGGATCACTGTCACATGTATGGCTTGTCATTAAGTAGAATGTCAGTTGTAAGTTGTATCCTATAAAAAAAAACTGGTGAAATTAGGTTGAAAAGTAAAGCTCAGTGTAAACATCTAAATAAAAGGAAACTTGAAAGTTATGACCAAAGAATACTGGATCCATATATGACAGTAAGACTCAACATGTGAATAAAATGCATATTATGCAGACTACAGCTGTAGGAAGTTTTGGATGAAGCAAAGTCATCATGATAATAAATCAGGAAAACAAGCATCATCATAGAAAAAGCTTTGAGCTTTACTTTATGTCTTACAGTCCTTTCCCTAATATTGCTCAAAAGTGCTCTAATGTTTGGCCAAATTATTGTAAGTGCAATAACTTTAAGGCACTAAGTACAGGTTGAAGTGTTATTCACATATTGAGTCTTACTGTAAGATCTGGATCTGATATTCTTTAGCCACAACTTTCAAAATTTTCTTTTATTTAGATGTTTTCAGTGAGCTTTACAATCTGGTTCCACCAGTTTTTCTATGGGATTTCAAGTATTTTTCAGTCATTAATAAATTCATAATAGAATAATTTTTATGATAATTCAACATTCACTTGACAGATATGTAATGGCTTGCAGTAAGTCATGTTATGTCTTAACTGATTGACCAATAATGCCAAAATTTAAAAAATGGCTTATATTTTATAAATACTAAATATTTTTAAATAAAACCTTCAAAAGGACAAATAGAAGCCAGTCATATCTCAAATGAGCTATTAAACATGCACATACTCCTCCTGGATTGTAATGTCGCTATTCTTTTTCATTGCAAAGCTAGACAACAAAACGCTAATTGCATAGATCCAAAACAATCCAACAAATTTATTCAAAATTTAAGACATCTATAGTACTCATCATGGACACTAGCTATTTAAATCTCATCCAAATCAGTTCATTAATCATGGAGATATTAAGAAATCCAATTTAACACTAACACATGTAACAAAACTTTACTATAGAATGCTACTGTGCTCTTTGATATGTTTGAGGAACTTGAAGAAATAAATTTGTATGGTTATAAATGTTTAGTATATGTTAGAAACTATATGAATACACTGGTTATTTTACTCATGGTTATTTTTTTTTTTACAAAATGCTCATAAACTTTATTTGTTTATATTTTTTACAGAATAATATGTAAATGATGATGATGATACTATTTATTCTACGTAATAACATCTTTATCAATTAAATTGCAGTGGAAAATACACTCATTAGATATGTGTATTGTGTATGTTATAAAAAAATATTTCTATTATTACATGTTTCTAACTGCAAATCTAAAAACTTATGTTTAGTTTTGGGTGTAAAAGAGAATTAATAAATTTTAGTATTCATTTTTTAAACATGCAATTAGACACAATATAAATTTATATATAATGTATATTACAAAAATGATAACATCTTAAACTATACTAAGAAATATTTTCTTTCAGAAGTTCATCAAATTCCCTTAATGGCAGTTTAATATTAATTAAAATCACAAAACAAAGGCAGAGTCCATTGAAATAATCACCCTTTTATTCACTTCTATGTTCTGGATAGTCCCAGTATTGTATGGATGAAAATATATAGATTTCAAAGCAGACCCCCGGTAGTGAATTCTTGCAAAGAATATTTTCAGAAATTCATTAAATGGCAATTTTAATAACTACATTTCACTATACCTTTAAAATGCAGTCTACTTTTGTCAGTTCTCTAACGTTTTCGGTCTAATTTATAGACCTTCTTCAGGATTGCTACATTTCACTATACCTTTAAAATGCAGTCTACTTTTGTCAGTTCTCTAACGTTTTCGGTCTAATTTATAGACCTTCTTCAGGATTGATGTAAAATATTTTAAAAATTTGAACTTTCTCAACGGTAATTCGAACCACGCACGTTCTATAATCTTCAGATATTCGATCGCGCATGTCCATTAGCTCTTTATAATGCCGCCGCTCTCCATGCCGTTGCTATTCTACTTGACTCTCGAAAATTTATATTAAGCCCCTTTTCTCTGTATTTATAAATGTGCCATGCCTCTGCATACTTTAGATGTCGTATATTATCGATCTTTTGTACAATATCCGCCTTGCTCCATTCGATTGTAATCTCTGCAGGATCCGCGATAGCATAATTGGCCAAAGCCGTGATCGGTTGTTTAGATCTTATATTTTTTTCGTGCTCCTTCAATCTTTCTCTTAATGATCTCTTTGTGGCTCCTATATAATATAACTCTTTCTTTAGCCTTTTATCATGCAACGGTATTCTGTACACACCTGGAACTAGCCTCCTGTCTATTGGTGTTTTGTCATTTCTTAGCATTTGGAATATTGTCGTGTTTCTCTTATATGCTATTTTCTTTTTGCTCTCTACTCCTATTTTTCTGTATATGCCACTTAACGGTGCTCTGTATTCCATTACGGTGAACTCCTTTTTTTCTTTCTTATCTTTAGTCTTATTGCATCCTTTTTCCGCTTCTTGTATTAAGGCTTTTACTTTACTTTGCTTAAGTCCTACATCTCTTGCTAATTTTGCAATGTAATCAAGTTCTTTACGTGTGTCATACATCCTGCTACAATGAGTGTATGCTCGTTTAATAAGTGCTCTAAACGCTGCTAGTTTGTAGTTTGTTGGGTCATGCGAGGACCATGGTATCAAATCCGGAACGTACGTCGGTTTTCTATACACTTTTGTAACAATTTGCTCTTTATCATC